ATTTTTCAAATTAAAAAAAATGACTCCATCATTCTTGATTATTTTTTGTTGGATAGTAAGAAAGTCGTTTGAGAGAAAGGTGCAGGTTTCATGTTCGTTGAAAACCCTGATTTTTTCGAAAATTACAACAGTTCTAAATTTGTTCGGAGTCTTTCTACAACGAAAATATTAAAGATAGATATTTTTTTCCCTTAAAGATATCTGTTTCTTACAGATAGGTTTTGAAATAAGGTCATGTACAATGTTTCGAAAATTTGTTTTCGTTTGTTTTAGCGTAATTATGCGTGAAAGTACGAGAAAATACGTGCTGCTTTAGCGCCACTAACTTTAGGTTGAAGTTATAATTCTGAATGGTTTCTTCCATGATAACTTACGACCAACGTGTAAAGTTTACAGGTTTTTTTGACGAAGGCTTTGCCTTGACGTTGCAACGAACTTCTTTCCTCACCCACTCTTTCCAATTAGTTCCCGGAATGCTGACTTCATTTTGAGCAACATTAACTCCAACTGGATTTTTCCAAAACACTTATTCTACAGTGGAAAAGAAGAGAAGGTCGAATAAAGAAGAGTGACATCAATGAAATTCTGGGTTCAGAAGCACAACTATTTTTGAAAAATTATTTAATTAAATATGAAGTAATGCGCAAATCGCGAGTTAAATTTGTTTTCTGTCCTTTTTGGACAAAACAAAATTTACAATATGTTTTAATTTAAAAATCAAAATTGACGAAGTATCTTCTTAATAAACTAGTACTACAACAGTATATATTATCTCGCAATATTGGTAACGACTACTCAATATTGTACTATTACATGAATTTGCAAACGTGTTTCCATCCCGCAAAAAAATGATTCTGTTTACATTCGAACCCATCCAGTTAACTCTCGATGTGCTTTACCGGTACACAACGCAGTTGCTTGCTCATGCTCATTTCTGACGACGCTTAAAAAGCTTGTAGACTCGCCCATTATTTCTAACTTACGCAATATTCGAAAATTCAGAGAGTTCAACCAAGTTAAAATTTGCGCCTTTATTTAAGCATTTGAAGTAAATGTGTAGAACTAATGGTGCAACACAATGGCACAGACTTTTCCGTATTAGTTTTCTATTTTCTTTGGTCTCGACCATCTATTCTGACTTCCAAAGTATTCTTGCCAGCTGCCATCTACCGCCGATCAAAGTACATTTTTTGACATTTCCTTAATTTTTCTGTTTCCTAATTGTAGAACGGAAATATTATTTTAAGAACATTAAAGGACAGTAAATCCTAGTCCTAAATGGAAGTTTCCTTTGAAAAAGTTGGAGCCGTTTTTAAGCAAATGGTGTCTAAAATTCAAAATTTGAAGCTATTTTTCACAGAAAAAGTTTGAGTTTTCAAAACACTTCATTAAACTTCAGTGAAGCACCTTTACTCACAAATACAAATAGTGCTTACAAATTCCTGTATATGTGCGTACTAACGGCGTGAGAGATTTTTCGAAAAATTACATTCCTGTAATTAAAAAAAATTAATTTTACGTCGTATTAAAGACTACAATTAGTACTATTCGTTCGAAAATTTTGAAAATAAAACTTGGAATTTTGATATAGTTTTCACAGAAAATGATTGAGTTTGACTTGATCTGACATTATTTAAAGCACATGTACTCACCAATATAATTATGAGAACAAATTGCCGCTAATATAAATATTGACGACGTGAGAGACAAATCCAAAAAACTGCATTTTATAATATTTGAAAAACAAAAGAATAGAGGAACAAGGTATTGTCATCTTATGGAATGAATTTAGCACAACTCCTACCAAAAGTGTAAAGAAAATTTTTGGAACCGGTTTTGAGAAAATCTTGTTTCTGTAATTTAAAAAAAATATTGCTTGCAATATTGCGCGACAACTATTTAAATTTTCAAGACAATGTACATAACCTTAATGAAAAAACAAATTATGAACAACAAATTTCAATTCAAGAAAAAATCTCTTTTAGTTGGTAGTTGTAGAATGATCCCCAAAAAATTCAAACTTTTGAAATTTTCGAAAATTCAGAGTTAACCCTAGAAATAGGAACTATGTTACTCCTTTCTTAAAAGAAATTCAAAAGAAAAAGTTGGAGCCCTCTTCAAAAAATTTTGAAAATATCCGTGGAGCTTCTTGTGTAATACCCCCAAAAAAGTAATGAATTTTTTTCAAAATCGCAGAGTTTTGACTCAGGCCAAATCGATAGAGGTTTGTTAAGTTTGGAAAAAAATTGAATGCCTAGTTTAGGCGCTAGTGATGCTCACATTCACGGACAGACGGATAGAGCGGACGTTTGCCGTCAATCGATTTTTCGGTATAAAGTCCCACAAAATAGGGATTCTTGATACACAATAAGTTAGAAGATTTTCTCTTAATTCAGCAACTAGATTTACCTACTTTTTCGTTATCAGACCGGCAATAAATTGTTTATACCGAAAATCTGCCGTAGAAAATGAAGCCCTTTTTTGAAACTTTTTTTATTGTATTATCTTTATGCAGAATTAACTCGAAAACTGTTTTTTGTTTGTTTGTTTGTTTTCAAAAAAGAAATATGACATTTTTAACAATCTAATTTTACTTCCTCACCGTTTGGAGCAGCTTTAAGAGACATAAATTAATTACATAAACACGTTTTTATAACTTCTGTAATCAGGAAACTCAATTGTCATTTAAACTAAAAACGTAATTCTTCGTTTCTTGTCGTAACTTGATTCTCACATTCACCATATCTCTCGTATACTTCTTTAGATAAAAGGTAACTCTACTTTACGGTAAAACTTTTCTTAATTAAATTGATCTTGGAATTGGTTAGGAATTTGGGGTATGTGTCTTAAAAGCCATCTAAGTCATTTTTCGAGAGATATTTCACATAGTGTCGTATTCTGCTTTCAATACACGTAACTTTGCACGTCAATCACACATGCTTTCGTCCGAACTTTATTGTAAATCTTACAACCTTCGGAATGAAGAAAGATGAATAAAAAATTAATCTCCTTTGCAGTTCCACACAAGTATAAAATAGTTAATATACGTTTAAAGAGTAAGTAAATTTAAAGACTTTCACAAAATTACCCATGTGAGAAAATTGAATGCGGACGGAGTGCGCTCTGTGAAGCAACTTGTGCAACACATGCTGGTATAGTTATCTTGAATGCCGCTTGGTAGCACTGTATCCTCGGAAGGAACGATATTAATTTTCTTACAATTACTTAATTTTCAAGAAGAAGAAAATCAGTTCGTTACTCATATGCATTTAGCATGTACTAATCTGATTTTAAGGGGAATGATATAACCTCATGGAATTCACCCTTTTTTAAGCCATATTAAGAGAAATACTTGGAAAAGTGAACTCAGGAATTCTTAGGACATGGAAGACTAATTAAACTACACATCCGAGAACTATTATGGAACTAAATATTGTTGATTGATTTGTTAATGATTTACTGTCAACTTCATACTTATGAAAAGCGGTACGGCAATGTAGTGTATCTCCAAAAAATGTAGCTCAAAATATTTGTGTTGTGGCTTTAGGAAAATAATTCGGTTCGTTTCAGGGCCACGGAAAACTGATTTTAAGATCCTAGAACGCAATGTTCTGAATTTAAGCTTGATGCAGTGTGTTGCATCATTCTGTGTGATAAGGGTTACATGAGCGCATCCTATTTTACGTATATCATGATTTGAGAAATTTTAATGTTTCGTCTTAGATTTGATGCTGGCCGAAGGGTAATTCCATATCCAGCTCTAGCACCTTCGGGGGTTTTGTGTCGATTGAAAATGATAGAAAACCCACGTATGTATTTAGCGTCTTATATTTATTATATCTTGTCACGTAATATTCCAGTCGGAAAGTAACAGGAACGGATTCACGAAAAATACTTACAAAAATATAACGAAATGAAGAAGATATATATCTGTAAATCACAAAGAGCGAGACAACAAATTATGCAAACTCATAGAGATTATAAAAGAGGAGGGTCGCAACTAACATCACGAAAACTAATATTGATTAAGGTTCTCTGATTGCCAATTGAAGTGTGCACCGCTTATCTGCGTTTAACGAAAATTTCTATTGCACCTACGAAATGGAAGGCAATGAGGCCTTGATTCATTTCTTTTTCTAATTGATTCTTTTTCCTAACAGGTTGTTATAAATACCAGGGAAACGTGGAGTACTTCAGCTATAAATCTATGAATTGTAGAACTTGCCGGTAGTTGTTCGAGTATTCGGGGAGTTGGCAGTATGAGGAGGTCCTGATTGGCCATTTTTTTATTGTTTGGTGATTCCGAGCGCGACAACGGCTAAGGCAATTATCCTGTAAGTGTAGTGCATTATTTCATCGCTGGAGGCGGCGGTGATCTTCCCCAATGACTGGCGAGATTCGGTGCCGACCTATGTCGGCTGTTGAGGATTTCTCCAACCAGGTATCTCCCACCAGCAGCGCACCGCCCCAGCCGGGACAAGTTCTAAGCTCCCGACCGGTCATTCGGCTCGTGTGTTAGTGTAGAGAATGTAAGTGTAAGTAAGGGGTGCGAATACAAGAAATAGGAAGAAAAGATCTCGCGCGGTCCGTGGCCCGTTTGTAAGGGTAGTGCTGCTGACTCGATCGGAGAAACCCCGGAAAACTACCGATCAGAATAGCCGGCCGATAGAATTTTCTTCCAGACGGCAACAGAACTCGACCCAACTATCTAGTTCCTGGTTGGATAACATCCGCAAAAGAACTGGTTCGTCGAGAGTAGTTTCTTCAGGCACATGACAGAGAAAAGTTCGGGGAAGCGGGCGCTATTCTTCAGTAACAGAGAAGGCTCTTAAAGAAGAAGAACATGCCGAGATGATCCCCATTTTTTCAATGCACCACCAATATGTTCTTGCGGAACACCAGTGAGCGGCGGAGCACCAGTGACCGGCGGAGCACCAGTGACTCACGAAGCTCCGG